GGGAGGCACGGGGTCGAGGGGGGAAAGCTTCTGCCAGGGAGAGGTGCTCCCCCCAAACTGCCCCCCCCCTCCCCCCCTCCCCCCCCCCAGGGAATGGATCAACGGGAATGGGCTCCCCTTCGGCTCGATAACGATTAAGTCGGGCGTGTCCCTCTACAGGAGGAATACGTAGCACCCCGCAGATGCGGATAAGAGTGAGGGGGCGGTGGAGACATCGGCAGTTTGCGAGACTTTGGAGAAGCCCGCCGAAGGCGCCAAAGTTCCCAATAAATATACACTGAGCCCGCCACAGGCGCCGATTTTTTCATTAAACCAATGTGGGTAGGTCGCAAATGGGTCACGGGTGGGTCGCGGGTGAATCGTTGTTGGGTCGCGGGTGGGTCGCGGGTGTAGAAAACAAAAAATCCACCCCAGGATAATCACCCCGACTAGCGAAGCCGTTTAGTAAACGAATACAAGGAATGGATCGAATAGGGCAGGGTTGTTTAGTCAATGCCCAGGGTCGTTTTAGTAAACGTCAATTGTCAGGTCTGGGTGGTTTTTCCTCCCTTGAGGGTGAGTCCCGGGGTGGGTCGCGGGTGGGTCGCGGGGTGGGTCGCGGGTGGGTCGCGGATGGGTCGCGGATGGGTCGCGGGTGGGTCACGGGTGGGTCGCGGGGTGGGTCGCGGCTGGGTCGCGGATGGGTGCGGGTGGGTCGCGGGGTGGGTCGCGGCTGGGTCGCGGGTTGGGTCGCGGGTAGGTCGCGGGGTGGGTCGCGGGTGGGTCGCGGGGTGGGTCGCGGGGTGGGTCGCGGGGTGGGTCGCGGGTTGGTCGTGGGGTGGGTCGCGGTTGTGTCGCGGGTTGGGTCGCAGGTGGGTCGCGGGGTGGGTCGCGGGTGGGTCGCGGGGTGGGTCGCGGGATGGGTCGCGGGGTGGGTTGCGGGTGGGACGACGGCATTAAACAACAACAACAACAACAACAACAACAACAACAACAACAACAACAATGAACAATATCAATAACAATGACCATACCAAGAACACAACAAATAACAGCAACAACAGCAACAACAACAATAATAACGCCAACGCAATGAGCAGAATTCGAACCACGGACTCCTTATTCAGCCACGCACCCAGGGACAAGGAATGACCGTTCGGCCCCTTTACTCTGATTCAATAATAGCAGAAGGATGATGTGGTAACGTTTTTTGTTGCTCTTTCGACCATGTTTGATTCGTTTCTCCTTGTTTCCAAAACCCGCTTGTAGGAAGACGTGCCCGACCTAAGACTACAACGTTGCGCGATTTGGCTGGAATGTTTGAACAGGAGGACCAGCGGACAGGGATTAGGGGGAGCGATGATGGCGACGACGACGACTCAAACGGAAAAGGCCCTCACGCACGTCGGCAGGGTCGGCGGACGTGCCTGGTATCGCTCGGACGTGGGCATTTTTTCCCGGCGAGAACCATTGAGGACGATCCTGGACCATCGAGCAAAACAAAACACGCCCCAAACCGAAACATGCACGGGAAATGGACGTCCGAGCGATGGCGAGTGTGGGGAGTCTTGTGGTAAAGGATCCTTCACAGGGTCCTCTTCGTACGCGTTCAAGGGAGGAATCCTTATTAAGAGTCATTTTCGCAAGGCGTCCGTGCTAAAGGGGTTCATGTAGTAATGGGTCCTTGGGAAGGATACGCTCAGTAAGGAGACGTTAGTGATTCACCCCCGCAGTAAGGATTCCTAGGGTTCCCGCAGTAAGGCTATCTCAGCACAGCGTCCCCTCTGCATTATTATTCTGTAAGGATGCCTCCTGCACGCGAACCGTAAGTAAGGTTTCCTTTATACCCGGCTGGTTACGTAAAGGTTCTTTCGTACTGATCCCTTTTTCATCGGACCATTATTGAGGATTCTTTTGGTAAGGAATCACGAGCAAGGACCTATTTGTAAGGGACCTTTTTTGCGGACCCTTTCGTGTCGGAATCTTGAGGAAGGATGCTTGTAGTAAGGTTTTCCTCAGTACGGACTTCTGTGGGGTGTTTTTGTTTCAGTATGAAGGATTCCTTTGCAAGGATGTCTCGTTGAATAGTCCTGTAGTGCGGGTTCCCTGCGAATGATCCATATACTAGGCCCTCATCAGTAAAGATGACTTAGGGAATCAGTGTCAAGGATCCTTTTTTGGGGTGCGGCGTCAGTGCAGAAGGGATTCTTGTAGTAGTGAGTTCTTGGTGAAGGTGCCTTTAGTAAGGAATCATTTGTGATGCCCCCTTCAGTAAGGATGCTTCTAGTACGGGTTCCTGATCTGGATGCTTTCAATAAGGTTTCGTTAGCAAGGACAGTGTTGCAAGAGGGATCCTAAGTAAACGCCCGGCACTCAGGAATCCTGAGCAGTGGGGAGAAAGAGGGAGAGAGAGTGTGCGCGTGTGTGTGTTGCACCCACATCGGGCGAAAGAGGAGCACCACGAACGAACCGCGACCATCATCCGCAATTTGTGAAGAGAAACCGCCGCATCGATTTTAGCAGGGGCGCGCGAATAGACCAGCGCCCACACATATATATATATGTATATATATAGTACATGGGTGTATATATATATATATACATACAGAAGACGCCCCATCGAGACTTGCAGCTGGAACTTGCGATAGGGCTGATCAGTGGTGGAAACCAGCTTCGGGGAGTGGGACGATGCCTCTGGGGCTCGCCGGTTGGACATGATCCATCGGCATCCTTCCTCAGGACTCGTACCATTCATCCTCCTCATTAATCTCCACCTTTGCCTCTTCCAGCCCTCTTAGTCAAAGCAAGTCATCGTCACCAGACGTGTCGGTGTAAAGGACGAGGCATTTCGCAGGAGACTTCCTCACACTGTTTTACGGCTCTGCAGCTCACGGCGCTGCAGCTGGAATTTCCCAGTTGTTGCACTGATGGGGGGACGAATCGTTTTCAGAATGCTGTTCTGCCCTTAGCGACGCGCACATTCGTCTCAAACGTCTCTAGCAATGGCAGCAGTGCAGATTGTTTTCAGAGTGTTGCTGTTGTTTCTGCCCGAACGTGCGCTCGTTTGGACATTTTCCAGCAGCAGCAAGGATGGAAGGTGTGCCGTTTCAAAACTGTTTACGCTTCGCGAATCCCCACCAGCCCATCCTGAAGCAGCCAGTCTAGGGATGAGCGTCGTCTATCAAGTGACAGGCCTAGAGGATTTGCTCCGATCAGGGAAGTGGGCAATACACAGAGGAAGGTTCCCTCTTGGAGCGCTCTTGGGACACTCTTGGGCGCTCTTGGGACCGTCTTGGGGCTCTCTTGGGCCTCTCTTGCGTCTTGTGGGCCTTTTTGCGGTCCCGGGGCGGCCTCTTGGAGCGTCTCGGGGAGCCTCTTGGGGGTCTCTTGGGGGTCTCTTGGGGGTCTCTAGGGAGCCTCGTAGAGGCCTCTCGGGGCCCTTTTGAGGGGCTCTTGGGAGCCTTGGGAGCGCTCTTGAGGCAATCTTGGAGGCCACGACTCAAAAAGGAGCGTAGCATCAATTAGGCGCCCCCCCAAGAGGCCAACATTGGGCCAACACCTTAGTAAAACCAGTGATTTGGGCTTCCCCGCCGAGGCCTTTCTGGACGCTCCAACGACCCCCGCCCCCCCCCTTCCAGGCCTAGGGGGAGGGGGGAGGGGGAGGGGTAAACCCCTTCCCGAAGGGGAAGACGGGCGTTGGACAGAGGGGGCTCTCTAAACTGAGACTCTAAACCACTCACGCCCCAAACGGCTGGTAGGGTTCGCCTCTCGCTCGTCTTTACACTTTCCAGCAGTTGCGAGGATGGAGGGCGGTGTTCTTTGAAGAATGGGTATTCGCCTCACAGTCGCACAGTCGTGCAACGCTCACATGGATGAGTGACGGAACAGTTTCATATTAAGGTTCTCGCTTGAATGGGTTCATTGGGTTTTCGTTGTGCGAGGCAGGGGTCCCCCTGGGGAAACATCTTGTCAAGCAGGGATGTAATTATGATGATGGAGGAGTTGGTTCGGAGGTTGTTGCAGCACTGTTAATGCACCTGGACTCCATCTGGTCCTTTGCACGAGCAGCGCGTGCACAACAGGCGTTCGATGGGTAACGAAAGGTGAGACATTGGAGTTCGGTAGCAAACCATGGGAGCGTTGTATACCCTCGCAAATCCGTCTTTAGAGTCGGTGAGATACCTCTGAATCAGCGTCGATGAGTCGATGAGCGTAGATGTAACGTCGATTAGCGTCGACTGGGGTCGATTGGCGCTGATGAGCAAGAGCCAGCAAGATAGTATGGGAGGCCCCCATGAGTTGCCACAGAAGTGGAGATGCCCGCAAGAGCACAGAAGAGTGCACACCGACCAGGTTCCCTAGCGCCCCACCGTTAGACCTCAACGGACGGCTTATGCCCTTGGCTCATACCATCAACGAGTCCCCCTTTGAGACGCAGGATGCATCTTGGCCCGCCTCCTCACCCTGCGTCTCCACCTTCAACCCCTCCTCGCCCACTCTCTCAAAATGTAGTGCCGACAGCGTCCAGCCGCCTCGATCCTTCTCCTCCCCCTCCCGCGCGCGCGGGATTCCCGTGGGGGGGAGGGAGGCGGAGGGGCGATGGAGGAGGGACGAGGGAGGTGGGGCGAGGAGGGAGGAGGGGCGGGGAAGAGATCGGGGAGGACAACGACGACGACGACCCCAGGAGCTCTGGACCCCTGTCCGGACTGCTCCACGGCCCCGGGGGAGGCGGGCCTCCAGAGGCCAGACTCGCGGAATGACTATCAGAGAGGGGTGGCGCGATCTGCTTGCGTCTGCTCTTGGCATGCGCCTGCCCAGCACAGTGCTCGTGCTTCAGTTTCGAGCATTCTCGCGCATGTGAAGTTATCGTTTCGCATCGAGTTTTCGCAGGCGTTCGCGTAGAGGTTCCACGCGTTGTTGTCGAGCAAGCCCCGAAGCCTTGAGCGCAGGGATTCGAACGGCAAATAGCAGCCGTCTCTATCTTCTCCGTGGCGGCTACGACGACGTTCCCCTTGCCACAGGACAGAGCGGATTCGCTCGTGGCCGAGGTCGCGGAGCTCAGGAGGAGACTGGACAAGGCCACCGAGATGAGCCCACAGAAGAGGCGGGCTGCGATCGGTCCGCCGTCATCGTCTTCGCCGTCATCCCCTGCACCCCCTCTCCGCTCTCCTCAGCAAGGGCGCCCTCGTGGGCGCGAAGTTCTTCGCGCTTCGCGGTTCGGCTTCGATTCCTCCTCATCCTCCTCTTCTCCCCTGGGAGGCGGCACGGGAGCGCGAAGTTATTCGCACTCCGCTCTTCGCGCAGCGCGAAGCGCGAAGCTGGGAGCCCTTGCCTCAAGGCAAGGGGAAGGGGAAGCAGCAGGCGAGAGGGAGGGTTTTCGTGAATAGCGGGTGCCACCCTGCCCGCATTCCCCAGCGGAGGTGGGGGAGGACGGTGCTGGCAGGGCCGGTGCGCCTCGTCGCGTCAGAGACCCTCGTTACACGACAGAGCACGACTGGGCTTAGGTCGGGCCTGTCCCTCTACAGGAGGAATATTCAAAAAACCGACAAATAGTCTGGGGACGATTTTTTTGTTGTATGCTTGACTACTTTTCAGTATTTTTGGAGTGCTTAATTTTTTTCGTCCAACATCCGCCTGTACGTGGGCATGCCCGACCTAAAGCCAGGCCGCACTCGATGTTTTAACTGCTACCATGTGCTATTCGAGGCAGTGTAGAACGAAGAGCAAACAACTGCAAACACGTACACGTTCGGCGCTCCGCGCGGATTTTCTTGGAACGGTGGGTCGCTTCGCGCGCCAGGGCGGGGGGGGGGCCGCGCCGATCCAAGAAAACCGCGAGGATCTCAGAGGAATTATCTTTATGCCGTTCCTGTTGCTCTATAGTAGCATCGAACGCCCCCAGAACTCGATCGATCCTGCTCCCTTCTCCCCTTCCCCCTTTTGTTGTCGAAATGAGTTGCGTTCTCGACGCGACGACGTCAGCTCTGGCCGTGCTCTTCGATGCCATACTATGCCGTGCTATACCACCATGTATCGTGTACTCTCCCGGGATCCTGGCCCAGTTCGACATCCGATGTTTTTTGCGAATAGAGAGGATATCAGTGCCATGGCACAGTCAGTTCTCAATATAAGAATGAGCAACCCTCCCAAGGGTACCTTAGCATCCTTGTCTCCTCGGTCCATCCTTGCTTTCGTTGGCCGCGCCCCGCTCGAAGAGCTTCGACATGGGAGTCCACGGCCCGTGCATCCTTATCGTGCGCCCTCAATCTACAGGTTGATTATACAAGGATGGGAGGTAGGGGTAGGACGTCTGCTATAGCACTTGCGCGCCTGGCTTGTCTACCCTTCCCCCTTCTCCCCTCCCCTTCTTATCGGGGAAATGTAAGACTCAAGTACGCCGGGACTCGGGTTTGCCGACGTTGTTTTTACGAACGCGTCCTGGATTTGACGGTCCAGTTTTCGTGGGAAGCTTGCAGCGAGAGCTCGCGTCAAATTTCAGATGAGGTCTTGTCATTTTCGTGATGGCCCCGTCAGGTCAACTCGAGTCACCCGTACCCGAGTCTTACTCGGCGGCGAGCGAGGGGGGGAAGTGAGAAGGAGACGGCCTTCTCAGAAGGCTGCGGGGCTTCTCAGAAGGCCTGGGGCTTTCGGAGAGGTTTTGTTGTCTTCTTCGGGGAAGGCTTAGAAAACTTATCGGAAGTCCGGGGGACTTCCGAGCCTTTTCTCCTTCCCACTTCTCCCCGGGCGCGCCGCCGACTTACGTCTCCCCGATCTTACACCGAGGAGGCGGCTTCCTGCTTCCGCGGCAGCACTCGGGGCAGCGGTGCGCAGCACGCCCAGCAGCACTCTGCGCCAGCGCAGCGCCGCGCGGGTAGCCCACGAGGTCCAGGCCTGCCAGGTCGCACGCACGCAGCGTTCACCCTGACTTCGGTAGCATCGGAATTCAGAGGAGGACGAGGCACCCATACCGCTGCCTTTCGGTCGTCTTCCCTTTCTGTCGGCCTCCTGGGAAACCCGCGTCGCCACCGCTGAATTCGCCTCGAGATCCTGGTCAGAACGCACTCCGGGAGAGGTCCGGGGAGTAGCCGTATCGGTATTTTTTTGCCTCCCCAGACATGGGTACGGACAGAATGGGCTCGATGACCGACATCAGTTCTTGGTTGTTTGAACAGGACTCACAGTCGGCGTCGCCGCGAGCGTTGTCCGTTTGAGACAGATGGCCGCCTGCCCAACAGCGGCAGCTGTCGGTTTTCAGCAACGTTTGTTGTTGGGCATCGTACCCATGTATGTCCGTACATCTGCCAGGCGTCCAAATCGTTGGTTTGGTTGAGCATCGTCTCAGTGTTCCCTCTTCTTGCGGAGGACGAACAATGGAGAGGAAGCATGCTGTCAAATGATTTGCAGATGTCTAGAACATGTGTTAAGCTTGATTTAAACAGTAAAAACATGTTTGAAACATGTGTAGAACAGTTTTCTGACATCTTAAACACATGGTAAATTCAATGATAGGACTGTTAGAGTTTCCATTGTCGTTGCATCCACAACCATTGTCCTCGGTTTTTCGATGGCGACCCGACCTTGGTTCTGCCTTGCCTCCTTCTGGCGAGACTCCTCCCTTTCTCGGGGGCGTCCTAGATGGGGGTGAAGATCAGGGTTGTGGAGGGCGATCAATCGAGAGGAAGCATGCTGCCAAATATTTCCCAGATGTCGAAACCATGTTGCAAACATGTTTTCAATATGTAAAAACCTGTTTGATACATGATTAGAGCATGTTTTATAAATGTTAAACACTTGTTTTAGTCCAAAGATATGAGTGTTAGAGTGTTCATTGTCATGGCATCCACAATATCAGTGGTGCGTGCATCTCAGTGCCGCGGCCATTATAACTCTGAGATGTTATGGCCCCTTGTTCTAATGATTATCCGTACTATTACGTTCGGCATCCTTATTATCATTGTTAGCCTTCTGAGCCGTCTGAGAAGCCCCGCCCAGTCTGTCTCCGTTGGGCTCGCCGCCGATATTCCTTCAACACATCCCCTCGCCCCCATTCCTTGTCTGCGCACATACCGTGGGCCATGATGCGCGCCCTTCCCCCTTCCGCCAGCACCCACCAAGCCACCCCGACCCAGCCTGAAGGCCCCACGTTGTCCTTTATTTTTGGCGGGAGGGCGCTCAAGGTCGATGCATCCCCCCTATGCCAGGCCCCCCCTATCGTTGCCCCTCAGACTGCCACTTCCCCCCTGTGGAGGTTGGGATGCTCGAGGGGAACATTCTGCTCATGCCGTTTCTTCTTATTTTTCTGCCACAGCGTCCAAAGCGTAGAGGGTTATTCTTCTTATGCCACTTCCCCCCGTGGAGTGTGGGACGCTCGAGGGGAAAATTATGCTTATGCCGCTTCTTCTTCTTCTTCTGCCGGAGCGTCCAAAACGTAACGCCACCGATGGTGAGAACGGCGGCGAAGGCGGCGGCGAAGGCGGCGGCGAAGACGTTGCCCCTCGGGCGGCCAGCCCGACCGCCGGAGGAGGGCGAGGACACCGTCGAAGCCGTCGCGCTCCGAGGAGGACAGCGACAGCGAGGGCGGCGACCATCGCAGGGGCTCGGCCAGCACCCTTCGGATGGGCGTCAGGACGCCATTCAGAGCTCCGAGTCATCGGGGCGGAGGGCAGTCAGGGGTAGCTATACAGACTCGCACCTCGGAGTCCCAAACCAGAGGTGCCCTGGAACGCAGTGATCCCGGCTACTTCGGGCCCCCTATCCTCCCGAATCCTCGGGGCGGGGGGCAGTCAGGGGCAATTGAAGGTTCGCGCCTCGGGGGCCCATACCAGAGTTGCCCTGGACCCCAGCTATCCCAGACAATTCGCGCGTCCCAAGCTTGAGAGAGCGTTTGCCAGTGTCGCCTGCGCTGGGGGCCTGGCCTGAGCGCTCGGTCGTACTCCTCCGGTTCGGCGGGCCCGCAGGGGCGTGGTATCCCCGGGTGGGGCGGGGGCAGGAGCCCGGTCGCATGCTCGGCTCGCAGCTCGCCGTGTGTCCGTGTAGTCTCGCTTGCTCGGGCTTTGGGGATGGCAGGGCGGAGCTCGCGTGGCTGACGGGGGCAGGGTGAAGTCAGGCCTGTCCCTCTGCAGGAGGAGTGTACAAAAAACAGTCAAAAATTTGCCTGGGGCGGTTTTTCCAATATCTTGGGGCATTTGGGGGATTTTGTGTGTTTAAATTTGTCGCCCAAAAGCCCTCTGTAGGGGGACAGGCTCGACCGAAAGGTTAGGGAGGGAGCCTGCGCTCGGCGTCGCCCAGGAGCAGACCCGTCGGGGGGGGGCCCCTGGCCTCGTCGGAGCGGGAGGGAGGCCTCCAGGGCAACGGGAGGCCTCGGAGGCCACAGTCTCTGGCGCTGAACAGTACGGGCTGTGGAGGTCGATCAATGGAGAGGAAGCGTGCTGCCAAACAATTTCCAGCTGTCTGAAACAGGTTGCAAAACATGCTTCAAATCTGTAAAAACATGGTTGAAGCATGGTTTTAGAACGTGCTTTACACATTTTAAACACATGCTTTAATTCAGTGATCGGATTGTGAGAGTGTCCATTGTCATGGCATCCACAATGTTCGGGGCGCTTGTCCGCGGCACCGCGCCGGTGCTCACCAACGGGCGCTCCGAGAGTGCAGCCAACAGTGGCCATGTGACGCCCGGTGTCGGGCACGGTCACGGCGCCCGCGTCGGGGAGGCTCGGGTTTCGCCGAGTCGCTGGCCAAAGCGCCCGTTAGTGCAGTCCCCGTTGGGAGGGGCGCTGGATTTTAGAGTCAGCTTTTGGGGAGCCCACCTCCGACGATTTTTTGTTGTTGTTGTTCTGTGCGGGGTTCTCAGAAGCCCCGACCCGATCCCTGGAGGTAACTGTCTCACCCCGAGTCTTTGGCTCACGGTCCAGACAGGGCTTGAACACGGTCCCCAGAAGCCGAACATTCCGAAACCACCTCGCTTTGAATAGTGGATCGACCGATCCAGGATGCAACGCAATACGTGTTGGATCCTGGGGAGGGGTCAGTCAAGGCCTTCCAGATGGGGTCTGAGTAGATGGGGTCGGAGGATCGCGCCGCATCGCCGACACATCGACGATACTGCTCGATATATAGAGCCCGATTTTCTCCGCGCCTGCGTCGCCGATGCACCACCGGCGTCGCCGATGCATCGCCGATGCATTGGTGATGCGGCGATATCCTCCGACCCCATCTAATCCGACCCCATCCAGGAGGCCTCTAGCCAGGGGCCCTGGGGCACGTGCGCGCGCATGTGAGCGAGGGCGTGGGCATGCGTTGGAGTGGGCGAGCGGGCAGACGCACGCGTGTACCCCTCGGGCAGGCCGCCGCGTGGCAGGCAGGCGTCCGTGGGCACGGGCGGGGGCACGCGGGGGAGCAGCCAGGCAGGCGGGCAGGCGGGCGTACGCTGGCACGGGCATGTGCGATTGCCCGCTGGCGTAAGCAAGCCCCTGCATGTCTTCTGGGTCTGGCCGTTGAGGGCGCCTGTTCTCGAGGATCCTCGGGACGTGTGCTAGCCCAATGTGTGTTTACCCCGTCCAGCACGACCAGTCGATCGTTACATCGCCTTCGTCGTTTTGGAGCTCAAGTTTTTTTTACTCAAACGCATAATGCGCGTTATGTGGCCTCCAACCCACCCACCCACCCAATACATGACATAACGGCCGCCTCCCCACCCACCCTCGTCGCAGCAACGCCTGATGTGTAGCGTATAGTTACGTATGCTGCTCGTAGTGCGACGACAGCGTTTTTGCAGTGTGCGCAGGCATACGCCTGTGGCTCGTAGGGGCGCATCGTGCGCGCAGGTTG